CCACTTGCGGAGTGGGCCTAGGTAGCTCATCCCATCCAAATCTTGCCCTGTGCATTTTGTATATGCTACACTCATTACTGCCAGCAGTGGGGCAGGAGCGGGGAGTATAGTTTAGTGGAATGGGCACTGGGCTGGGAGTCAGGAGTTGTGGGTGCTCATCCCAACTCTCACCTGGCCTGCTTGGGTGACCTTGGGCAAGTCTCTTCACCTCCCTGTGCCTCAGTTTCCTGCCTGCCAGCTGTGCAAAGCAGGCGTGAAATACTGCCTCTCTGACTGGGGACCACTGGATGATCTATGCGTGTAAAGTGCTAGATAAAAGCTGGTGGTGGTGGTGTTCACTGCCCTGCATCTTGTGTCATCATTCACCCCCCTGCAACCTGGCTATAAAGTACCCCCTGAATTTTGTCTGTCATAGGCCCATTTTACTCCACCTTTACATTAGGCTTATTGCCTCTACTAGGGCAATGTCAGGTTTCCTCTGCTTTGATCCATCCTGGGCTGTTCCCCCAAGCCCTGTTCTGTGTGTAAGTGGACAAAACTCTCCATCCCATTTGATGTGATCATATAAGAAGAGGACCCGTTGTTAATGGCTCTTGAATAGGGCTGATCCTAATCCCCATCTTCTGTTTTAAAACGCCCCGGCCTCTAATTTAATACAGACCCCACACTGCTCCCCTCTCCTTCTGAAACGCCACTTGGCTTCTGGGTTCCTTCCAGGGTGGGGCACCAGAGGAATGTCCTGGGTTTAGTTCTGGAGGGCAGGTGTTCATAACCAGCCCCCTGGAAAGGCATGAAAGGGTCACAGTTCCCTGCCCCCGTATAATGTAGGCTTCTCCTGCTGCTGTTTCTCTGCTCCTGCGTAAACTGTTTGATTCCTGAGTTACAGCTGGAGGTTGTTACAAATATATATGGCAGAGTCATGGTGTTGGATCATATTAAAGAAGTTCTGTATTAAAATTACAAATGAGTTTGATTCCTCGTAGTTTAAATTTCAGGGTATTACTAATTAAGAGCTCTCTTGGTTTTTTGACTCTTGTTTTTACTGTTTCTCTCCCTCTCTGTGTGAAACTTGCAAGCTGCTAATTGTGTTAGTACAGCCTAAGACACAGTCTGTTCTCAAAGCAATGCTTTGTAACAACAACTACTCACAGAGAGAGAGAGACTCAAAGTGATACTTTGTAACAACAGAAACAGCACCCAGAGACTCCCTGCCCTTTTGTTGTAATTATCTCGCTTTGTTAACAATTGTGATTAAAATATAGAGGATGTATGTGGATGGATGCTTGGTGTGGATAATAAATGAATGATCAGGGAGGTGCCAGCCTAAGAATCCAGTGTTGATCGGCTGAAGAAGGCGTCAAGTGGAAACAACCAGAGGACCCCCAGAGGGCAGACTGGAATCCACCCAACAGCCTCAAGAATGAGAGAACCGAAGAACTTTGGGGTCTGATTCTGCAAACCAACTTCCAGGAGCATCAGATGAGCATCTGACAAGGCCCTGCTCCCTCCTTGTGTCCAGGCCACTTGGCCAGTGGCTTGGCATGAGCAACTCTAAGGCTGGTAACTATGATAACAACCTTGCAGAACCTGTGTGTGTATGAATGAATGAATGTGTGAATAAATATGAAATTGAATGGAATGTTATGGCTATAACTAACTGCTTACTATGATTCTTTCTGTATTCACAGTAAATGTGGCATTTTGCCTTATTCCCTTTAATAAGATCCTGCTGGTTTTTATTTTATTGGTATAACAATGGTAATAAATACGGCTAAAGTCACAGGCTTTTTTACAACCAGCAAGCTCCTTTGGTAAACCCAGCCTGGCTGGCGGTGGAAAAGAGGACAGTTCTCTTGGGGCAATTAAAGCTTTCTCCTGTGCTGATCCTTACTCAGCTCAGAGTTTCTTCTTTGCAGCTCTCCTGTCTGTGACTGACGTTTGTCCAGCTGTAATCAGCACAACCCCTGCCCTGATGACACACCTCTATTTCCCACCCACAGCCAGTCTGGCCTAGCCTCCGCCTTTGGTGTCTTGTGTCAGCACCACTGTACAAGAGAGAATTGCTGGGTGTGTTTATGCTTTTAACAGTCCAAAGCATTGATCTGCCGTCATTCAATAAAACCTGCACCCGTCTGCTCAGCCTTTGATGCACTCTGCCCCCTGAGGGGCTAGACCAACGCAAGGGTTGCCAGTGGGACACATTAATGCCAAGACCTCATCCCTCCCCTTCAGCAGAAGCACCCCAGAGAGGACCAGTTAGGAGTTAATGGAAAAGGCAGCTCCCCCATCCACTGCTCCTTTGGAGGAAGCAATGCTCTCTCCCTGCTCCTTCCTGTAGTGAGCACTCCACACCTGTTCCAGTCCAGTTCTCCATGCAGCTTTCTTGGAATTATGTCTCCTGTGGGTTGGAATGCCACCTGCATGCTGACCGGTTGCTTCTCTGATGCATTCCTTGTTGCTTTTCTAGCTTATTTTGCTTCCTTGTCTCTTTGGCACATTTTCCTCACGCACTTTAAGAGAGACAAGAAGCTGAAGGAAGGATGGTTCAATAGATAGCACACAAGCCTAGGACTCGAGAGCCATGTTTGATTCCCTGCTCTGCTGTGATTTGAAGTGGGAGCCTGGGCAAGTCACGTAGTCCCTCTGTGCCTCAGTTCTCCATCTGTACAATAGGAATAATAGCAGGGCCCTAATTCACATGTGTGCTGGGAGGGTAAATATGGTACAGCTCATGAGATATTCAGATAGGATGGATATGGGCAGCCCTTACAAGAGTCTTAGCTAGATAACTTCTCTTCCAGTACTATCCCAATGTTCTTGGGGCAAAGAAGCATTTTAACCAGGGTAAACCATGCAGTCTGAGACCTGGGAATAGCAAAGGGAAAGGAAAGAAAAATTCTCTGTAAAAGCAAAGACCTTTCTGGAGCACAAGCAGGTAGAATTTCAAAGTGATTCTACTGAGGAACATCAATTACTGAATGGGGTCACTTATTTTCTGCTGCGGTATTTAAAACTGGTGTCAGGCGGCTCTGGATTGTCCCTTTCCATTAGTTGGGTGCGAACATTTTATAGTACGTCTACACAGGGAACAGAGACCCATAGTATGCCCATGACTGGCCCGGGTCAGCTAACTGAGACACTCAGGCTCTGGGGCTAAAAATCGCTGTGTAGATGTTCTGGCTCGTACTGGAGCCTGGGGTTTGGAACCTTCCTCCTCACAGGTCCCAGAGAGACTGAGACAGATGTTTAGCCCCGCAGCCCAAGCCCTGCGAGCCTGAATCAGCTGACCTGGGTCAGCCATAGGTTTTTTTTATCCCTGTGTAGATGTAGCCTTAGTGGCTAAATAACCTCTTTTTCAGGTACTGCACCATCATTCCCCGCTGCAGATGCATTGTCTTCCTTCCCTGCCAGGAACCATAATGCCTGCAGAGGGGCTGTGTCATGGAGCTTTGTTAAAACATTTTTCAACTCAGTTGAGCCTGGCCACACAAGGGGACAATTAAGTCGGTTCCTGGTGGAGTTGGTTTTGACACCCGCTATCACCTGTGTATGGAAACCACCCACACATTTGGGAGCCACACCCATAAGGCACTGACAGGAGCGGATTTTAGACTCCCATGGAGCATCAGGGGTGGCAGAGGGAGGAGAAGGAGGGAAGACAAAAAAAACGGATAAAAAGATGGTCTGCATAGACTCAATCCTGCTGCAGCATAGGAGGGCTGGACTAGGTGACCTCTTGAGGGCCATTCCAACCCTGATATTCTATGATACAATAGCTAAGTCTGGCACATTTTCCTCACACGCTTTAACTTAGCTGAGTCAGCACAGTAAGTGCTGAACTGTGTCATAGAATATCAGGGTTGGAAGGGACCTCAGGTGGTCATCTAGTCCAACCCCCTGCTCAAAGCAGGACCAATCCCCAACTTTCCCCGTGTTCCCTTTCCTCTCCCCATTGGTGGGATTCTGCTGGCTTCACTGGGTTCCCTAGGTGGTGGAGAGGCTGCAAGGACTCCATCCTGCCCCCAGCAGTTCTTAATGTGGGAAGGGGTAGCTACCTCCAGCATGCTGTGGCTATTTTTGATGTCTGGCCCTTACAAGCCAGCATTTTTCTAAGTTGAGCTAGGGACTGAGCAGGAACCAAAAGAGGGGGTGAACTAGGTTGGATTAAAGCCCCCTGTGCCAAGCAGAGGAATGGCACAATGGAGAATCTGGCCCATGGGAGTCCTGGGACAGAGACATCCCTTATGTACCATGTGCTACATTAAGGACATTGTCTAGAGGCCTACACTGGTCAGAGATCGTTAATGAGGAGTCAATGGGGACATCCTGAATGCAGGACAGTTGGTAACTTTATGAGCAATAAAGCATCCTATGGGGTCGTGTGACAGCCAGTCCAAAGCAAACATGACTGTGTGGCTCAAGTTTGGCTCTGTCCCTTTAAGCCCTAAATTCTTCTGACAAGAGCTGATGAAAGCCAGAGAGAGACCCAGGCCAGCAGCAGCTGTTGCAGAGAAGCAAGCCCCAGGCAAAGATGCATGAGGCTGAGACAATGGTGCATTGGGAGTGGTATTTTTAGAAGTTCTCTGACCTGCTGACAAGTCTGGGACCAGAGGGCTGGAAAGTGGCAAATGTAGCACCATTATCATTGGCAGCAGAGCTGCTCAGTGCACCAGGCCAAATCTAAAGCATGTTAAGAGGGGATCTGAATGAAAAACGGTTGAATTTCACTCAGTTCTGCCACCGATCAATCAATGACAGGAGGACAGTGTAATACAGAGAACAGCACAACACGCAGCTGTGGGAAACAACGTAGGGATTCAGAGAGAGAGAACTACATGGAAGGGACCAAACTGAGCCAGGAGCAGCTGACTGGATTAGGGTAACAGTATCACTTATTGTGTAGTAGCAAGAGGCTCTGATGGTGCTGGGCAATCCACACACACACCAGAAGACCTTAATCTACATGGACAAAGGGTGGGAGGAAAAAGAGACTTGCCCAAGGATCATACAGCAGCAGAGCTGGGACTGGGACACAAGTCTCCGGACTTCCATGCTAGGATCCTATCTACCTGATTGTGCTGCCTCTTAGGTGAGAATGGGAATTTGCTTGATTAACTTCTCAGGGTGCCTTAGCCCTTGCCTCAATGGCAGATCACAGCCATTCAGTGGATGTGTGTAAATAGGGGTCGTCCCTTGACAGTGTCAGGGGCTTGGGAGAAGCAGCTCCAACAGATGAGTTCCCAGAAGCAGAGCATGGAACTGTTGCCGTAGCTGCCTGCTTGAGACACACCCAGCCTGCGGGTCTGCAACAGGAGCCTGATAGACAAGCAGGGCAAGGAACGGCAGGCTAAGGGGAGCGCGCTTGGACAGACCTCATGTTTGGGTGGCAGAGGAGGAGGCACTAGGGCTGGAGCTGGCCCCAGGGAGCCTGCACATGACAAGGAGTCCCAGGGAGGAGGAGGGACAGCTCTGGTGGAGAGTGAGCTGGCTGCAGGGAGTTGGGTTAAAGGGGGCTGCAACTCCCGCATTGCTCCCAGACTTTATTTTCTCTCTCTCTCGGCCTCAGAGGACTAGCTCCCTCACCCACCCTGGAAGCAGTAGTGCAAGTAGGGCAGTACTCTTGCCGGTACTGCATACTGGAGAGATTTTTAGCAGGTACAGGGTACCAGAAAGACTCTGGGCTAGCCCCCACCTCCGGGTCGGGGGGAGGGGGAGAAGGGGCTGCACTCTGCTCCTTAAAGGAGCAGAACACAGCTAGGGAGGTCATTCATTCTTTATATGGCTTTAACAGCACAATACATATGCTAACTGAGGTGGGGGTGATGACTCATCGGTGCAGCACCTCCTGCTGGTTGTCTAGGGAATCAGCCCTTCCACAGCAGAGTGCCCTCTGCTGGCTGGTGTCCCTCCCATACTCCGGTGCCTGCTCTACATCTGGGTTCTGCCCCCCAGAAACAATCCACAGTCAGGGTCTCCCCATCCAGGGGAACCCCCAACCCTCTATCCCCACCTTAGCTCAGTGGCTACTGCCAGTCATCATCTAGTCCCTGCTCCCTGGGGCAGACTGCAGTTTGTCAACCACACATCATCAGCAAGGCTGGTTGGACCAGCCACCTCTGTCTATCTAGGGGCTTCCCCTTTGCAGCCTGAGTACCCTTTTGTAGGCCTTTGACAAGGCCTGCAGCCTGGGGCTTTGCTAGGCTAGAGCTCCCCAGCACCACTCCACCCCAGGTACCCTTCTCAGTTTCCCAAGCAGCCAGGTCCTTTTCTCTCTCTCTCTAGATCCAGAGAGAGAATCTGTCTTCACTTCTGGCCCACAGCCCTCTTATAAGGGCCAGCCGGACCCTGATTAAGCTGGCCACAGCTGTGGCTGCTTTCCCAATCAGCCTGCTTTTCCCATTCACAGCCCTCTCCAGGGCTGCTTTAACCCCTTCAGGGCAGGAGCGGGGTAGTTACCCCGCTACACTAACAAACAAACAAAGGCTTTGTTTAAGTTTGTTATCATATGTATTGTGCTGTTAAATTGGTCAGGAGTCCTCAAGATGGGAGTTTGGGGAGGGAAGGTGTTTAAACAGTGTTTTTGATTCTGTTTCTCCGCATTGGTCTGAATTATCCATGACATCCGTACTGCATCACATCAAGTCCAAATCATTAGAGGAATCACTCTGCTTGCACTGACCAGAGGATAAATGGATTCTGATGTCAGCCCAGTTCTGCAGCCTGACAGGAATCAGGTTTTGTCCCCAGTGTACACAGAATTCTTCTTTGCAGCCAAACTAGTCTAACATGCATTTTGCTGACTGGAACTGGAGCAGCAAAACAAAGAAAACAAATGCCTCATTTTCCAGCTTTGTGGGTGAGAGAACTATAAGTGAAGATTATAATGCCAGACACTGATGACCTTAAGCCATCTGCCTCAGGAGTCTGCCAAGAACTTTGCTGAAAATATGTTCCTCATCTTAGCAACGGAGCTAAGACTTATCACACATCTGCCCACCTTTATTCGAATGACGCTCCTTCTGATCTGACAGCTCAGGCATTTTCAGTTTCATCTAGAACAATTTACAAACTTGGAACCTAATCCTGTAAACCCTTAATCACTTAATCAATCCCATTGAACACAATGGGACTATTTGAATGACTATGGACCACTTTTTTGGTAAGAGTTTCAGGAGTCTGTTCTGTTCCTATAAAGGAAGTTGAATCTCCCACTCGAATGCAACATTTGGGTACAATATCATAATGCAGTTTAGGATACAGTTCTACTTAAAATTTGTCTTTTAATAAGTCATATATATGTTGAAATGGCTATTCACCCAACTCCCATATTCCATATAAACAGACTGAATAAGTGAGCATGATGATGTTTGTATATATCAGGGGTCGGCAACCTTTCAGAAGTGGTGTGCTGAGTCTTCATTTATTCACTTTAATTCAAGGGTTCACGTGCCGGTAATACATTTTAACGTTTTTTAGAAGGTCTCGCTCTATAAGTCTATATATTATATAACTAAACTATTGTCGTATGTAAAGTAAACAACGTTTTCAAAATGTTTAAGAAGCTTCATTTAAAATTAAATTAAAATGCTGACCTTATGCCCCTGGCCAGCTCAGCCCGCGCCAGCCTGGGGTTCCGTTCACCTAGGCCAGCAGCAGGCTGAGCGGGGCCTGTGGTCAGGACCCCGGCTGGCAAGGAACTGGCAGCCAGAACCCCAGACCGGCAGCTGGCTGAGCGGGGCTGGCAGCTGGGACCCCAGACCGGCAGTGGGCTGAGCGGCTCAGCTCGCTGCCATTCAGCCCGCTGCCGGTCTGGGATTCTGTCCACCGGCTCCTGCCAGCCAGGGTCCCAGCTGCCAGCCCCGCTCAGCCCGCTGCTGATCTAGGATCCCGGCCCTGCCCACACAGAGTGGGTACCTACTTTCTCCCTGGTTCCAGCCCATTCTCTTCCTCTCTCTCTGCACTGAGCACAGGGCTGGGGGCGAAGGAGCAGGCTGGGGGTTGGGGTGTTGGGTCTGGCCAGGAGCTAGAATGAGGGAGAAGGCTCAGGGTTGGGGCAGGAGGTTTGGGTGTGAAGTGCTTACCTGGGCAGCTCCCATTTGGTGCAAGGGGTGCAGGTAGGAATGTGGGGTGGGGGTGCAGGAACAGGGGAGCTCCTGTTTGGTGCTCAGGGTGGGGGCGAGAATGTGGGAGGTGCAAGAGTCAGGGCATGGGGTGGGGGGGCTGGGTATGTGTGGGGGGTGCAGGAGTGAGGGCAGGGGGCTGGGGGTGTGTGAGGGGGCTGGAGCCAAGGCTGGGGTCATGGGGGGGTGCCAGGGTCAGGGCAGTGTGGGGTGTAGGGGTCAGAGCAGAGGGCTGGGGATGTGGGATGTGGGCTAGGGTCGTGGGGGTGTCCCCAGCCCCCTCCCCAGAGAGGCTCATGGCAGGGGGCTGGAGGGGATATGCCCTGATTCCACCCCTCATTCCCCAAGGCCCCGTCCCCACCTCTTCTCCGCCTCCTCCCTGGAGCAGCGAGCGCGCTGCGGCTCCGCTTCTCCCCCTCCCTCACCAGGGCCATCAGCTGATCAGCGGCAGGGAGGGAGAGGGGGAGGGGCAGGACCCCAGCACAGCAGGGGAAGAGACGGGAAAGGGAGACCTTGCCTGCCCTGAAGCAGCAGCCGGCAGGACCAAGCTTCTTCACCCTTCCCCCGCAGGGGACGGAGAAGAGCAGGCCAGGGTGAGATAACTGGTTCTGTGGATGAAGGGAAAGCAGTGGACATGCTGTTCCTTGACTTTAGCAAAGCTTTTGATATGGTCTCCCACATTATTCTTGCCAGCAAGTTAAAGAAGTATGGGCTGGATGAATGGACTATAAGGTGGATAGAAAGCTGGCTAGATTGTCGGGCTCAACAGGTACTGATCAATGGCTCCATGTCTAATTGGCAGCCAGTATCAAGTGGAATGCCCAAAGGGTCGGTCCTGGGGCCGGTTTTGTTCAATATCTTCATAAATGATCTGGAGGATGGCGTGGATTGCACCCTCAGCAAGTTTGCAGATGACACTGAACTGGGAGGAGAGGTAGATACGCTGGAGGGTAGGGATAGGATACAGAGGGACCTAGACAAATTGGAGGATTCGGCCAAAAGAAATCTGATGAGGTTCAACAAGGACAAGTGCAGAGTCCTGCACTTAGGATGGAAGAATCCAACGCATCGCTACAGACTAGGGACCGAATGGCTAGGCAGCAGTTCTGCAGAAAAGGACCTAGGGGTTACAGTGGACAAGAAGCTGGATATGAGTCAACAGTGTGCCCTTGTTGCCAAGAAGGCCAATGGCATTTTGGGATGTATAAGTAGGGGCATTGCCAGCAGATCGAGGGACATTATTGTTCCCCTCTATTCGACACTGGTGAGGCTTCATCTGGAGTACTGTGTCCAGTTGTGGGCCCCACACTACAAGAAGGATGTGGAAAAATTGGAAAGAGTCCAGCAGAGGGCAACAAAAATGATTAGGGAACTGGAACACATGACTTATGAGGAGAGGCTGAGGGAACTGAGGATGTTTAGTCTACGGAAGAGAAGAATGAGGGGGGATTTGATAGCTGCTTTCAACTACCTGAAAGGGGGTTCCAAAGAGGATGGATCTAGACCGTTCTCAGTGGTAGCAGATGACAGAACAAGGAGTAATGGTCTCAAGTTGCAGTGGGGGAGATTTAGGTTGGATATTAGAAAAAACTTTTTCACTAGGAGGGTGGTGAAGCACTGGAATGCATTACCTAGGGAGGTGGTGGAATCTCCTTCCTTAGAAGTTTTTAAGGTCAGCCTTGACAAAGCCTTGGCTGGGATGATTTAATTGGGGATCGGTCCTGCTTTGAGCAGGGGGTTGGACTAGATGACCTCCTGAGGTCCCTTCCAACCCTGATATTCTATGATTCTATGAAGCCCATTATCCTGAACGTGTGCCAGCCAGTCTGCCCTCACTGACTAAAAGTGCAGTCATGCCTGAACAGCTAAAAATTAACCTTGCCCTTTTAGGTTAAACCGAGTTATGTCACTGGCTCCATCTCTGTTGTTACATAACAGCCTTGAGTGGGCCTGACAGTTATAAAAAGCCAGCCAGCTGCAAACCAGCTGAGCGGCGAACAATGGAGAGGCTAACAGTTGCCTGGGGAGAGCCCACTGAGGCTTTCATCTTGCCGGCTTCTCTGAGTAGTTACTACAGCACCAGAGGAAGCTCGTAGAAGGAAGGTAATATGGATGGGGAGCATTCAGCTGTTGTGACCTGCACTGGATGTGCCATGTCTGTCTTTCTTCCACAGGACAGAAGCTACTTTGTACCAGTGCAAGCTGGTCTCCATATTGGAAGAGAAGGTTCAACGTCTGAAGCAACAGGTATCGACCCTGCATTGCAAAAGAGAAACTGAAGTTTTCTTGGACAGACGTCAGGATATGCTTCTACGGGCACAACATTCTGAAGATTCAGAGCAGGCTGCGCAGCAGGGACAGAAGGACGGTGAAGAAATTTGGCAGCATGTGACCTTCAGAAGAAGAAAGGAGAGCATTCATGTACCAGCAATGCAGATACAGGTAAGCAACCGTTTTCATGTTCTCTCCACAGGTATTGGAGAATGGACGAGATGATACATCTGAGGGAAGGGAGCAGAAGAAGATTCCACCAATTGGAAGGCATGAGATGCACTGTCTTAGGGAATGGAGTTCCACGACCACCGCTACCAAGAGAAGGAGGCGGGTGGTGGTGGTCGCGGATTCCCTCCTCAGGGGGACTGAGTCATCTATCTGCCGCCCCGACCAGGAAAACTGAGAAGTCTGCTGCTTGCCAGGAGCTAGGATTCACAATGTGACAGAGAGACTGCCAAGACTCATCAAGCTCTCGGATCGCTACCCCTTCCTGCTTCTCCACATGGGCACCAATGATACTGCCAAGAATGACCTTGAGCGGATCACTGCAGACTACGCGGCTCTGGGAAGAAGGATAAAGGAGTTTGAGATGCAAGTGGTGTTCTCGTCCATCCTCCCTGTGGAAGGAAAAGGCCTGGGTAGAGACTGTCGAATCGTGGAACTCAACGAATGGCTACGCAGGTGGTGCTGGAGAGAAGGCTTTGGATTCTTTGACCATAGGATGGTGTTCCAAGAAGGAGGAGTGCTAGGCAGAGACGGGCTCCACCTAACGAAGAGAGGGAAGAACATCTTCACAAGCAGGCTGGCTAATCGAATGAGGAGGGCTTTAAACTAGGTTCACCAGGGGAAGGAGACCAAAGCCCTGAGGTAAGTGGGGAACTGGGATACTGGGAGGAAGCAGGAGAGGGCAGGGCTCCTGCCTCATACTGAGAAAGCAGGACGATCAGCAGGTTACCTTAAGTGCCTATACACAAATGCAAGAAGCCTGGGAAACAAGCAGGGAGATTTGGAAGTCCTGGCACAGTCAAGGAATCATTATGTGATTGGAATAACAGAGACTTGGTGGGATAACTCCCATGACTGGAGCACTGTCATGGATGGATATAAACTGTTCAGGAAGAACAGGCAGGGAAGAAGAGGTGGGGGACTTGCACTGTATGTAAGAGAGCAGTATGACTGCTCAGAGCTCCGGTATGAAACTGCAGAAAAACCTGAGAGTCTCTGGATTAAGTTTTAAAGTGTGAGCAACAAGGGTGATGTTGTGGTGGGAGTCTGCTATAGACCACCAGACCAGGGGGATGAGGTGGACGAGGCTTTCTTGCAGCAGCTAACAGAAGGACTAGATCACAGGCTCTGGTTCTCATGGGTGACTTTAATTTTCCTGATATCTGCTGGGAGAGCAATACAGCGGTGCACAGACAATCCAAGAAGTTTTTGGAAAGCGTAGAGGACAATTTCCTGGTGCAAGTGCTGGAGGAACCAACCAAGGACAGAACTCTTCTTGACCTGCTGCTCACAAACCAGGAAGAATTAGTAAGGGAAGCAAAAGTGGATGGGCACCTGGGAGGCAATGACCATGAGATGGTCAAGTTCAGGATCCTGACACAAAGAAGAAAGGAGAGCAGCAGAATACGGACCCTGGACTTCAGAAAAGCAGACTTTGACTCCCTCCGGGAACTGATGGGCAGGATCCCCTGGGAGAATAACATGAGTGGGAAAGGAGTCCAGGAGAGCTGGCTGTATTTTAAAGAATCCTTATTGAGATTACAGGAACAAACCATCCCGATGTGTAGAAAGAATAGTAAATATGGCAGGTGACAAGCTTGGCTCAACAGTGAAATCCTTGCTGATTTTAAACACAATAAAGAAGCTTACAAGAAGTGGAAGATTGGACAAATGACCAGGGAGGAGTATAAAAATATTGCTCAGGCATGCAGGAGTGAAATCAGAAAGGCCAAATCACACCTGGAGTTGCAGCTAGCAAGAGATGTTAAGAGTAACAAGAAGGGTTTCTTCAGGTATGTTAGCAACAAGAAGAAAGTCAAGGAAAGTGTGGGCCCCTTACTGAATGAGGGAGGCAACCTAGTGATAGAAGATGTGGAAAAAGCTAATGTACTCACTGCTTTTTTTGCCTCTGTCTTCACGAACAAGGTCAGCTCCCAGACTACTGCACTGGGTGGCACAGCATGGGGAGGAGGTGACCAGCCCCCGGTGGAGAAAGAAGTGGTTCAAGACTATTTAGAAAAGCTGGACAAGCACAAGTTCATGGGGCCGGATGCACTGCATCCGAGAGTGCTAAAGGAGTTGGCGGATGTGATTGCAGAGCCATTGGCCATTATCTTTCAAAATTCATGGCGATCGGGGGAAGTCCCGGACAACTGGAAAAAGGCTAATGTAGAGTCCATCTTTAAAAAAGGGAAGAAGGGGGATCCAGGGAACTACAGGCCAGTCAGCCTCACCTCAGTCCATGGAAAAATCATGGAGCAGGGCCTCAAGGAATCAATTCTGAAGCACTTGGAGGAGAGGAAAGGAACAGTCAGCATGGATTCACCAAGGACAAGTCACGTCTGACTAATCTATTGCCTTCTATGATGAGATAACTGGCTCTGCGGATGAGGGAAAAGCAGTGAACGTGTTATTCCTTGACTTTAGCAAAGCTTTTGATATGGTCTCCCACAGTATTCTTGCCAGCAAGTTAAAGAAGTATGGGCTGAATGAATGGACTATAAGGTGGATAGAAAGCTGGCTAGATTGTCGGGCTCAACGGGTAGTGATCAATGGCTCCATGTCTAGTTGGCAGCCGGTATCAAGCGGAGTGCCCCATGGGTTGGTCCTGGGGCTGGTTTTGTTCAATATCTTCATGAATGATCTGGAGGATGGCATGGATTGCACCCTCAGCAAGTTTGCAGATGACACTAAACATGGAAGAGTGGTAGATACACTGAAGGGTAGGGATAGGATACAGGGGGACTAGACAAATTAGAAGATTGGGGCAAAAGAAATCTGATGAAGTTCAACAAGGACAAGTGCAGAGTCCTGCACTTAGGATGGAAGAATCCCATGCATCGCTACAGACTAGGGACCGAATGGCTAGGCAGCAGTTCTGCAGAAAAGGACCTAGGGGTTACAGTGGATGAGAAGCTGGATATGAGTCAACAGTGTGCCCTTGTTGCCAAGAAGGCTAACAGCATCTTGGGCTGTATAAGTAGGGGCATTGCCAGTGGATCGAGGGATGGGATTGTTCCCCTCTATTTGACATTGGTGAGGCCTCATCTGGAGTACTGTGTCCAGTTTTGGGCCCCACACTGCAAGACAGATGTGGAAAAATTGGAAAACGTCCAGCGAAGGGCAACAAAAATGATTAGGGGACTAGAACACATGAATTATGAGGAGAGACTGAGGGAACTGAGATTGTTTAGTCTGCAGAAGAGAAGAATGAGGGGGGATTTGATAGCTGCTTTCAACTACCTGAAAGGGGGTTCCAAAGAGGATGGCTCTAGACTGTTCTCAGTGGTAGCAGATGACAGAACGAGGAGTAATGGTTTCAAGTTGCAGTGGGGGAGGTTTAGGTTGGATATTAGGAAAAACTTCTTCGCTAGGAGGGTGGTGAAGCACTGGAATGCGTTACCTAGGGAGGTTGTGGAATCTCCTTCCTTTGAGGTTTTTAAGGTTAGGCTTGACAAAACCCTGGCTGGGATGATTTAGTTGGGGATTGGTCCTGCTTTGAGCAGGGGGTTGGACTAGATGACCTCCTGAGGTCCCTTCCAACCCTGATATTCTATGATTCTGTGATAACAGATAACAAAACTCCAGTGGGGCATGGTGCTGGCACAGAGGGTCTCAGATACGTGATGTGATTTTTCAGAATCTCTTTTGGGAATAGTCATGTAGGTGAAATAGCTGGTACTTATGATTATGCTATTTCTATGCATGTATATTCATCTTGGTATCTGAAGTTATGAATATTAGCTATGTTTACGACATGTTTGCTCCTGTGGTAATGCCCACAAAAGTATTTAGCCAGCACATGAAGGGACAAGTCAAGTTGAAAGGCCCATTAAGGAACACTTAGCCACAATGGACCCTGAAACATGCCTGTCTACACTTAATGGACTTTTCCTGTGAATGTTCTAACTAGAATATGGGTGGGGGTGATGGACATTTAACTTGTCAATGTGACTGCAAACACCATCTTTCACAGTAAGAACAGATTTCCCTTTACTTGGCACTTTGCAGAAGCTAAAAGGCCCCTGCCTGGAAATATCTCCATTTTGCCTCTTTCCTGCTTTGACCTCTTTCCTGCTCTACCCTGTGGACTATGAACACATACTAATGGGAGCATTCTAACCAAGGGACTGAGGACTTGAAGGTAATCTGGAGCCTTCATATTTCCTTGATGCTTTGCAGATGGACTTATGAGTTGGATATGGTACAGAGACTGTTCTAGCCTCATTGATTGCTGATTTCTCCCTTGCAATGGACAAAGATCAGATGTCTGCTGACTTTCTCACATGAATCAGCAGCATTTGATACCTGTGGTATAAGCAACATAGCCCTTGCTTGAGTGGTTTTGTTCTTTCCTCTCCAAATGTCAAAGTCTGTTCCCATTGAACTCAATAGCAAAACTTATTTCGATCTCAATGGGAACTGGATTTGGCCCCAAGAGATCAGCGCATGTGATTTTGATCCATTGCTAATCTGTCCAGAGACATTCCTCATGCATGTTCTGCCAGGCTGATTTTGAATGCCCCTCCTGTATGTCATGCTGAAGAAAATAAGAAAACAATTTGGGCTGTAGTTCTATCAAGATGCACATGGCACACACAGTTCTATGCCTCTTTTCCACCAAACCCAGATGGCTCAGCGTCTTTGCTTTCCTAGTGCCTGGCAGAGAGCAATACTTAGATAAAGGTAAGCTGGCAGAAGCTTAGTTTGGACATAAGGGAGGCACTGATAGTGTGTTAAGGGAAAGGGGAGTGATTGTCCTTCCCATCCTTCTTTCATTTAAGAAGTTTTCAATTTGGGGTACTGCTGGATCCTCAGTGACACCTGGACGTACAGGTGGCACCAGGGGCCCAAAGCATCATTTTAGTCAAATCTTGGACAGGTAAGGGGAGTATCGGAGGGGACGGGGAGAGTGTGGGGGCCCTGGGCTGGGGGTGGGGTGGGGAGGAATCACATGCAGGGTCATGTGGGGAGGTCACATGCCCTCCCTTGTGTCCCTCCTATGAGTGTCCCAGCAAGAAATTATTTCTACTTACAGCACTGGCTGGAAGCCAGGGACAGCTAGGAGAATGCTGCTCCACAAAGGAGACCCTGAGAGATGGCCAGGGCTTGAGGCTGGCAGAAAGGAGAGCTTCCCACTTCCCAGCGAGGGATGCCAGACCTTTACATTGACCGCCATCTCCACAGCCAGGTGAGGCCGAGGGGAGACTTTAGGGGCGTTCTTGTTGTTATGGCTGAGTTGTGGGCTTTTGAGTAATTCAAGGAGGCAATGTGTAATTGTTGCTATGGGATCAGTTACCCCTTTAATTCGTTACCACTGATTCTCTTGCTCCCCCAATTCTCTTTTGTCCTCGGTTTCTGCCTTTTTCCCTCTGTTGTTTGTTTATCCTTATCTGTTGGACCTTGATTTCCTGTACTTACAAAATGTAGTGGCTGAGAGGTCCTAGTGTTTGTCTGTTTGTGCTCCCAGCCACTAGGTGGGCACACTGAGCACTAAGAACCCAAGGCCCATTGGTCATAAGGTGGCGTGGGAAGTGGGGCTACTCTTCAGTGCTCCCTTCAGGGCCACCCATGGTACTGTAGGTGCTCTCCACCTTAGTCTGCAAGGTTTGGCGCCTGCAGGACTGGGTTAACCACTACGCTAATAAGGCTATAGCCTACGCCCTCCTATTTTTTAGGTCAGGCAGGGGGGCACGGCTGGAGACAGCTGAGGTTTTCTTTTACATAATAAAAGCTGGCTGCCTCCCAGGCTGCAGTCAGAGTGAGATGTGATGTAGAGGCAGTAGTTTGGGGGGAACACTTGCAGGGCTTGACTTTGCACTGTGCCTTGTAGAAAGCTGAGGGTAGACGCATAAGGTGGAAAGAGGTGAGCAGTGTTGCAGTGATCACCCTCATACAGACGAGCACTCCACTACCTCACAGGAAGGAGGCCTAAGAGAAGAACAGTGGAGCATCCCTTGTGCTACCTCTTACTCAGAAGCATCTGTTTGGAGAATTGAGCGTCGCAAGAGTAGAATAAACTTGTTAATTTTATATAAATAAATAATATGTAAAGACATATGTAGAGAAATGTTTGATGACTTCTTAATTTCTTTTGCAATATGTCATGCATACTTAGCCCTGGTCTATACTAGGACTTTAGGTCGAATTTAGCAGCATTAAATCGATGTAAACCTGCACCCGTCCACATGATGAAGCCCTTTATTTCGACTTAAAAGGCTCTTAAAATCGATTTCATTACTCCACCCCTGACAAGTGGATTAGCGCTCAAATCGGCCTTGCCGGCTCGAATTTGGGGTACTGTGGACACAATTCGACGGTATTGGCCTCCAGGAGCTATCCCAGAGTGCTCCATTGTGACCACTCTGGACAGCACTCTCAGATGCACGATTGTTTGCCGTTGCTCTGACGCAGGGAGGGGCGACTGAGGACACGGCTTACAGGGTTGGCTTCAGGGAGCTAAAATCAACAAAGGGGGTGTCTTTACAGCAAGGAGTATTTCACGCAGGACTTCACGGAGGGTTCCAATAAGAAATGGTGCACCTAAGTTATTGTTCTTATTGGAACAAGGAGGTTAGCCTGGCCTCTGATTGATACATGGCTAGATTTACCTCGCTGCACCTTCTCTGTGAGTGACTGCAGTGTGACCTAGAAGAATGAGTCCCCTAGATGGGGGAGGGCGGGAAGCAAATGAATACAGAACAAATCTGGTCTATTTCTTGTTTTGATCCACTCCATCTATGTTTTACATCTTTGGCTGGCAGCAGACGGTGCAGAAGGACTGCATGCCATCCACATTTCATGGCTGCTCAGCAGAAGATGGTACAGTACGACTGCTAGCCATCCTCATCTCTTGCCTGCCCGGCAGAAGATGGTACAGTACGACTGCTAGCAATCCGTATCGCCTGCCTGCTCACCATAAGATGGTTCAATAGGACTGACTGCAGGACTAAAGAGAATGACCTGGTCAAGTCACTCCAAATTTAGTCCCTGCGCTCATGTCTGCCCAGGCGCTCGTGGCCGACGTGGCTAGGAGCACCTCGGACATGACGATGACGGCTACCAGTCATACTGTACCATCTGCTGCCACAAGGCAAGGGGTTGCTGCTACTGTGTAGCAATGCCGTACCGCGTCTGCCAGCACCCAGGAGACATAGGGTGACGGTTACCTGAGCGGGCTCCATGCTTGCCGTGGTATGGCGTCTGCGCAGGTAACTCAGGAAAAAAAGGCGCGAAACGATTGTCTGCCCTTGCTTTCACGGAGGGAGGGAGAGAACGGGGGCCTGACGATATGTACCCAGAACCACCCGCGACAATGTTTTAGCCCCATCAGGCATTGGGATCTCAACCCAGAATTCCAATGGGCAGCGGAGACTGCGGGAACTGTGGGATAGCTATCCACAGTGCAATGCTCCGGAAGTCGACTCTAGCCTCGGTGGAAGCACTCTGCCGAGTTAATGCACTTAGAGCATTTTCTGTGGGGGGACACACACTCGAATATATAAAACCGATTTCTAAAAAATCGACTTCTATAAATTTTACCTTATTCCGTAGTGTAGACATACCCTTAGGCCCTTCCCTCCCATTAGCCCTCATAACCTTAACCCAGCCCTGGGCACCTGCATGACACCAGTTTGGCGTCAGCCTCTGACTATCAAGTCCTATGGCCCCACTGTTTTGTTTGTAGAAGTATTTGCATTGAGAAATGCAACTGGAAGTCCATTGCTGATTAACTGTCGGTTCCCCCCAGTTTGGGAATCTTACACTCATTTTTCCATCCCAGCAGGTCTCCCCTGTTCATCTTTACACTGTCCCCTGAGCTTTCATTGAATCATAGAATATCAGGTGTGACGGGGCAAGGCCAGATGGCGATAGAAAAGTAGTGGAAGAGAGATATATTAGCTCCAGGCTAAACAAATCCCTGGTACCAGGATAAGTGAAATGGCAGCTGCTCCAGGTCAATTAAGACACCTGGGGCCAATTAAGAACTTTCCAGAAGGCAGGGAGAATGCTAGGTTGATTGGGACACCTGAAGCCAATCAGGGGCTGGCTGAAACTAGTTAAAAGCCCCCCCCAGTTAGTCAGGTGGGTGTGCATGTCAGGAGCTGTGGGAGGAAGTTGCACTGTTGGAGAGGCTGAGTAGTACACACCATATCAAGCACAAGGAAGGAGGCCCTGAGGTAAGGGTGAAGTAGAGCTTGAGGAAGTGAGGGCTGCTGTGGGGGAAGTAGCCCAGAAAATTGTACATGTTATATTTCTAAAAGGTCAGCTAGCATAGCTTATACTATTAGGGTCCCTGGGCTGGAGCCTGGAGTAGAGGGTGGGCCCGGGCTCCCCCACACACACACCTTTGCCTCCTGATTAATCACTGAGACTGGGAGACAACAAAGACTGTGCAAGGAAGGATAACTTCTCCTCACCTCCCTCGCTGGCTTATGATGAAAATGGCTCAGTAGACTGTGACCCTTGTCTCTAGAGAGAGAAGGGTTATGTGCAGGGTCATGATGAGCCTCTGAGGCTAGCGAAATCCGCCAGGAAACGTGGGACCCACGGAGGCAAGGACAGAGCTTTGTCACAACTGGTGTCAGCAGTGGGATTTCGTACACAGCGTGGCAGAAGAAAGAGGTTTTTTTAAAAAAAAGTGCACTGGGGTTTTGGATTTTTTTTTTGTTTTGGTTTGTTTGTTTGCTTTGTACCACAATGGAGGAGGTGGTAAGAGCTCTGGTACAAGCCACGGCAGCCCAGCAGGAGGCCACCCGGGTTCAGGCAATGGCACAACAGGAATCTATGCGGCTGCAGCAGGAAACCAATCAACTATTGATGACCCAGGTGACCCAAGATCGTGCCCTCTTGAGAGAGGTGGTGGACCAGCTGAAGATCCTCACCACCCAGGCCCGGGGGTCCGACGGGACATGAACCCTGAGGGCCACTGGTTGTCTGCCAAAGATGATGTCAGGAGATGACGTAGAGGCATATCTCCTCTCATTCGAAAGGACTGCTCAGCAAGAGGTGTGGCCCCAGGAGCACTGGGCCAGCATTCTCGCCCCTTTTTTGTGTGGAGTGGCCCAGAAGGCCTACTTTGACTTGCCTGCCATGGATGCCACTGACTATACCTGTTTGAAGGCAGAGATCCTAGCACGATCAAGGGTAACAGCAGCAGTAAGGGCCCAAAAGTTCCATGAGTGGAAATACCAGGAGAACAAACCCCTGAGGTCCCAGCTATTTGACCTCATACACCTCGCACGGAAGTGGTTACAGCCCGAGGTGTGCAGGCCAGAGGAGATTTTGGAGACCCTGGTCATAGACCATTACATGCGGGGACTGCCGCCAGATCTCTGCAAATCGGTAGGCCAGAACGATCTGTCCACGTACGACGAGATGATCACACTGGTAGAAAGATGGATGACAGCCAGGGAACTGACCTGACTACCCAAGGAAGGCCCCTTTCGAAGCAAGCACCCGACCCCAACCCTGGAAGGTTGGGCAGCCAAACCCCCGGGGAGTCCTAGGTGGAAGAAGGGGGGGGGGGCCGAAAACCAGCAGGAACCCCAGAAGGAAGGAATTCGCCTGAGTGGGGGGAACCCCAGGTCTAAACTCCCTAACCCCCGGGATAGGGGAGTGATTAAAAGCAATTATAGATGTTATGCATGTTGGGAGTGGGGACACATAGCAGCACAGTGTCCTAGCACCGAGGAGCCTAAGCAATGTAACTTGGGGGATTGGGAGGTCCCATGCTCCCTTATCTACCTCACGGGGGTCGCATTAGCTCCGCATAATTACACCAGGCCAGAGAGGATAAATGGAGCAGAGACTACAGCGCTTGTGGACTCCGGGAGTGCTATCACCCTCATATCGGGGAAGCTGGTAAAAAGTAGTCAGCTGCTATGAGCCAAATGTGTAGCAGTGACGTGCATGCATGGGGCCGTGAGCCATTACCCCACCATCCCAGTGGAGACAGAGGTTCAGGGAAACCCCATTGAGGTGACCGTGGGCATAGTTCCTAAACTCCCATATCCTGCAGTCATTGGGAGGGACTATCCAGGGTTTGATAATTTACTCCCCCCGGAGAGGCTGGAGGGAGGCGGGGACCCTGAGGACAGCGACTCGTCACCGGGGGAATGATAACCCCCGATGTTCACTGAGATTTCTCAGGATCTGTTCTCAGTCCCCTGAAAGACCCAGAAGACAAAAAAAGAGAGGAAGGCCGCGAAGGCCTTGGGAACCCAGATCCTGACCCAGGGCCAGAAGACCTCGCTAGTACGCAGATAGACACGAGCAGCCAACAGAGAAATTTCCACCACAGAAGGTGAGCCAGAAGCTGCCCCCAGCCATGATGGCTGCGAGCCATTGGAAAAAGCAGAAGCTGGCCACTGGGAGCTTGGGCAGGTTAGTCCCGGGAGAGAGACTTTTGGGCGGGACCAGGCGGAGGACCCCAGATACGATAATGCCAGGAAAGAGGTGGCCGAGATCGATGGGATACCCGTGGATGGGAAGGTCCGGGGTCCCGGACCTTACTTTATAGTGAAGAAAGATCTCCTGTAGCGCATGGTGCAAATGTAGGAGCAAGAGATACAACACGGTCTCCCACAGTATTCTTGTCAGCAAGTTAAGGAAGTATGGGCTGGATGAATGCACTACAAGGTGGGTAGAAAGCTGGCTAGATTGTCGGGCTCAACGGGTAGTGATCAATGGCTCCATGTCTAGTTGGCAGCCGGTATCAAGTGGAGTGCCCCAAGGGTCGGTCCTGGGGCCGGTTTTGTTCAATATCTTCATAAATGATCTGGAGGATGGTGTGGATTGCACTCTCAGCAAATTTGCGGATGATACTAAACTGGGAGGAGTGGTAGATACACTGGAGGGGAGGGATAGGATACAGAAGGACCTAGACAAATTGGAGGATTGGGCCAAAAGAAATCTGATGAGGTTCAATAAGGATAAGTGCAGGGTCCTGCACTTAGGACGGAAGAACCCAATGCACAGCTACAGACTAGGGACCGAATGGCTAGGCAGCAGTTC